GTTTGAGAGAGGCGGGGCATAGAGGACCTACAATATTGTACAGTATTTGAAAAATAATGTGTTTTTTGAACATTAAAGCATGTCAACATATTCTGTTACACCAAATACACAAAATAATGATCTTTAAAATAGCATCATATGACCCCTTTAACATCAATTAGGCTCATCCAAGGCCACATTTATTTGATTAAATATACAGTAAAACAGTAATATTGTGAAAAATATTACTACAATTTAAAATAACTGTTTTGTATTTTAAGTTCCATTACTCATCTTAAACGTCACATGCTCCTTCGGAAATCATACTAATATGCTGATTTAATGCTCAATAAATATTTCTTATTTTTATCAGTGTTGAATTGTCCTGTTGAATTTTTTTTTGTGTGTGAAAACTGGTAAAAAATTCAGAACACCATTTATTTGAAATATGTTATCCTATGCATAAAGTATAAACCCACCTCTAGAGATAAGGAACTGAGTGAAGGCCATGCTGATGGCAGATATAGGAAGAGCTGTAGGAACGTAAAGAAAGAAACATCACTCACTTATGATATCAACAAAACCACAAGCAAGATAATGAAAATAAGCACTGGACATCCACTCACATCTGTACCAGAAGCTTTCCTGATTACACTTTTTTTTGCATTTTAAACACCTCAAAAATATCACAACGATAAATGTCCAAAAACATAATATTACAATGGTAAGACAGCTGAGATGTAGCATGCATGCATGCATAAGCAGGTCTACTGTAACGTTATATGTTAGACTATAGAGACCAGCTGCATTCAGCATTACAGTGCATAACCTGGCAACATCACTCTATCATTTTCTGTCTTTATAGGTGGTGCTTGTTACCAAACACACCACGACTGCATTTCCTGGCCGTTCAGGGTCGGCTGGAGACTGCTGGGACATTGTGCATCCGACGTCTTTGGCTGCAGTACAGTCGCTCTCCAGTCACGCGACTCACGTTTACGAATGTCAAATCCACAGGAACCTTCTTCCTCGACTGTGCTGCAGGAGTTCATGGGTAACCAACTTTCAGTGCCACCATGCGGTTTGACATGGAATAGCAACAGATGACTCTTCAGCTTGTCATACAACTAATTTCTCAAAATATAAATAAACATTTTAAAGCCTTAAACTATATATTAACAAATTCACAATCATATTTTTTAAAAAGTGAATGTAGTCTACATATCAGTCTTATCAAACCACATTTACTAACAGTGAGATTTTTAATGTTTTTAAAGAAGTCTCTTCTGCTCACCAAGCATGCATTAATTTGATCCAAAGTACTGCAAAAACAGTAAAGCTTTGAAATATTTTTTCAAATTATTTAAAATAACTGTTCTCTATTTTAATTTATTTTAAAATTTTAATTTATTATTGTGATTTCAAAGCTGAATTTTTAGCTTTTAATTCTTATATTTTTTATTATTATTACTATTATTATTATTATGTTGAAAACAGCTGAGAAGACTTTTTCAGGTTTCTTTGATGAATAGAAAGTTCAGAAGAACGGCATTTATCTGAAATAGAAATCTTTTGTAACATTATATCATCACTTTTCGTCAATTTACAACATCCTTGCTAAATAAAAGTATTCATTTCTATAATTTCTATATTTCAGATAAATGCTGATCTTTGGATATTTCTATTCATCAAAGAATTCTGAAAAAATTTACTGTAACTGTTTTAAATAATACTACTACTACTACTACTACTACTACTACTACTACTACTACTAATAATAATAATAATAATAATAACAACTGTTTCTTGAGCAGCAGATCAGCATATTAGCATGATTTCTGAAGGATCATGTGACACTGAAGACTGGAGTAATGATGCTGAAAAGAAGAGAATTCTTTAAAAACATGAACAAATCTTACCGCTCAAAACATTTTGACTGGTAGCGTATAACATATAATAACCTATAAGAACACATGACATAGACCCAGTTCACATTTACCTTCTGACAGTCCCTATCTCTTCCATGATCAAACATTTGATTATGAATGAATAAAGATGACATAATGGTTTCAAGCTGATTTTCAGCCCTGTCTATTTAATTGTCTTATAAACCTTACAGTATACAATGTTAACAAAACCATTTTGCATATCCCTTGTTTATGTGAGTAGCTATTTTGTTTTTTCTTTGAGTGAGTCGACATTGTGTGATACAGAAAATATAAGCACAATTACCTAATAAACTATTAAAAATAAGTGAAAGTAGTAATTGGCATAAAGTTGAAATAAAACAAAATATTAAAATCCAAATAAAATTTATTAAAGCTATATAGAAATATTAAATGTCTGTGTGTATATATATATATATATGACAAACTTGAAGCAAGAATGAAAACTGAAAACAAAATTTTTTTTAATTCAAAATATTCATAAATACTATAGTAATATATATGTAAATAATACTAAAATATCACTGATTAGAAGTCACACTAGTTATTTTTCACATTAATGATATGTGATTTTCTAGGCCCATAAAACAGGGTTTCCGAGGGGTCTTAAAAAGTCTTAAATTGTACAAGAAAGTCTTAATTATGATTTCAAGAGGTCTTAAATTTGGGGACGGAAAAACCAGAATTGCGATATGGCTGAATGTGATGATTAAACTTCAAAAGGCTAACGTTATGATTTCATTGAATAAACACAAGTGCTGCAGGTACAAAGTCCGGTGCTGCCCTGCTTTGTGTTCTGCCGTTACCGGGGAAACAGTTATATTTCTACCAAACGCTCCACCTGCTGGCAGAGAATGAATGAGCATTTTCAATAAAACTGTTGTTTTGTTCAGAGTTCAGACCAATGCGAAAATCGACCCATGTTTTTACATGAATGTGAACTGGTGGATGGATAAGAAGACAATGCATTATAAAAATCTAAACATAGGGGTGGCGATATGTAGCCTATGGTCTGCGATAATATCGTAATTATTGTTTTAACGATGTGCGATTTGTTATTATGAGTATACTGCGAAAAGCAAACACAAAACACACCAACAGAGTTCACGCATACATTAGGTGCCTCGCATTTAGAGTGCGTTCTTTCACTGCATGAATCAGTCTATTAAAATGCATTTAGAATTATCACATAATTTAAGATATGGGGCAGAAAATGTATATATTTATATCATTTCATATAGTTAATATCACACGAAGAGTGCCGTTTTTTTTCCCTCTAAAAGTAAGCATGATTACAAATGTGATATTGATTTTATACAACAGTTCAATAAACAAGTTAATATTAAGAGACTTACGTTTTAGACACCATATTTCCTGTTTTTGCTCTATTTCTCCAACAAAAATCATTCCAAACACAGCCACAGCCCTGTTTTGAGTCTCTTAGCAACAGGAGCTGTTTAGTTCCTGAATGAATCACCAGTTTAAATGATTCAGTTCAATCGCAATGAATCACTTATTAACAGTGACTTGCTGCCACCTACTGGCGGTTTTAATTTCACATTTAAGTTTCCTTTTTATTTTTTAAAATAATTTCAAACACCAGTTTTCAATATTTTATGTTTAAAATATCAAAACATTATTTATGCATTTGTAATGGCCGGTTAAAGTATTTAATGTCCCTCAGAGCTCCATTAAACAGTGTGTAAATACATCTAAATGTCTACACTTAGTGTGTTAAAATGAGACGATTCGTGAGCACGCAATTTCAGCACTGCGGTGAGTGGATTCTAACTTAATCACCTCTGGTTGGCCATTGCGTTCCAGAAATCAACAGCTGAGTCTGTGATTGGCTACATTGCGCAACCCTTTAAACACTTGTTATAAATAGAAACTCTGCCTATCTAAACATGAATGTCGCGGGCGGGAGCGGGACCAGATAAGCTCTCCGGTGGGGATAAAAAACATCCCGCGCACAGCACCGAAGTCCCGATCTGAATCAAATAATTCGCGATACGCGATCCGATTGGAGCGCTTCGTTTCCACATCGTCGAATCCGGCCCCCTTTAGGAAAAGTTTGGACACTCCTGATATAGATAATGGCCCCACTGTCTTCATTTTGCATATGAGATTATAGATTATCAGATCACTGATGATAAATTATATGGTTTAAGTGACTGTGACTGCTGAGCTCCAAAAGCACTTGAGACCATAAATAGCCTGACAGAAAAGTTGTTATGGGGTCCATAACAGTTAGAGTATAAGTTAAGCACTTAAAATTATTAACTTAAGTGCACTTAAAAAGCACTTAATGCTGTTTTCACAGTTCAGTCTCAGATAATTGATTATTTACTGTATAGTGAAATATGTCACTTCAAGTATAGAAATGTTTATGTACTCTATTCTGTCTCATTATCAGTGGTTTTAAAACTGGTGGTTTTAGAAGTGAAGATAATGGGACTGAAAACAGTTGGTGGCTCCATTAGTCTAAACTGGGCAAATCATTTATTCAGTGTAGTGATCGATCCGAACTGTATTGCTTCTCTTCTGTCTCTTTTAAGGTCACAGGGTCCGTCTGCTTGCATGTAGACTGGAAAATTGGTGCAGAAATTGCTAGTAAATTTCACAATTAATTACAAAAAAATGGCAAGTAACAAATGTAACAATGTGACATTTTCAAGAACAGAAAGAATACTGTTTTCTTTTAAAACGTATAATCCAATAATCTTTGTTATATTCGCAACTTTTTTGTTTATCAGTGCATGAGTACTATGTAGGCTACATATTAGAAAAATGACATTTACATTGATATAATTTTTTATTAGCCTATACTTTCTTTGAAAGATTAATCTGTGTTCATTTAAATGGTTTATAATTGTTAGGTTTATAATTGTAATGGTTTATAAAAGTTATTTTAATTCACTGTGTTCTGTGGATACAGTATTGGTACATAAAATAAATACACTATGCAAAATATCTAATATTTCTGTCTGTCTGTCTTTGTCTTTATAATTAATTGTCATAAAGGAATGTGGGCTTTGAATTAAAAGTCTATTACACAAAGTTGTATGGAACTTTCACACACCAAATTCAAAACTCTCACAAATTATTTACTATTCATTATGGTTTAATAGCTTAAATAAAAAAGAAAAAGACAAAAGGACTTGATCCTTACTTAACCAGTGCTTTTATACCAGCAGAGAGCACTGCAGTTTCACTCTGCAGTCACAACTTCCTTTTCATACAGAGTTTTGATGTGGGGATAAAACTGAGAAATACATCTGCAATACAAGTTCGATTAACAACTATTTGTTATATTCTATCTTATATCTCCTAATATGACATTTAATATATAAATGTATTAGGGGAGATAGTTTTCCCCATTTCCCTGTGATGGACTGTCCATCCGTTCAGGGTGTTGAGATGCTGGAATAGGCTCCAGCCTCCTCACAACCACAAGCAGTTTGGAAAATTGATGGATATATGTTTCCAGCTACCGTCATAATAATGATTTCATTCATTCAGAAACTGATTGTCATGTGATCCAGTGCAGATGCAGGGCAACGGGAATGTTCATGTATTGATCAGTGCCCTAGATTCAGGGTTCACACACACACACACACACACACACACACACACACTAGTTTTGTCCTCACACATATTCTCCTGAGAACCAGCAGTTAATTTTTGTCCTCTGCAGAGGGCATTATGCTTTTTTATTTATTGAAATATATGCCAGAGATTTAAAGGGGTCATATGATGCTGCTAAAAAGAACACTCTTTCGCAGCAAACCACACAGTGTCTCCATGACATGGCGGCGTTTTATATGGTTTAATACTACAGCGAGAATAAAAGTTACTCCTTCTTTCTTTGTGTGAACATTTGGGCGGTGTTATGCAAATCTTCCCACATAGTGTGGTAGATATGTGGGGGCGTGTTCGAACGAGCCGTTTTAGGTAGGTGTGGCTAACTCTTAACTTTTATAAAGAATATCTCTTTGGATTTGAGACTTTAGTCTTTACAACTTTACAGATCTTCTTTATGCACCAAGAGCTTGTAACACTCCAAAGAGAAAGGAAAAAATGAAATCGCATCATATGACCCCT